ATGAGCTGCCTAATGTGGGTGCTAAGAAACAAACTCTGGTCTTAAAGAGCAGCAAGCACTAAACCACAAAGTCCTGTTTCTTTTTTTTTATGACATGGAAAGAAGAACACATTGATTTGGTTGAAACATTTTGTTAAAAAGTTAAAATGTTGGGGCTGGCAATTTCTCAGCTGGTAAAAGCACTTGCCACAGGCCAGGTGGCGGTGGTGGTGCACACCTTTAATCCCAGCACTCGGGAGACAGAGGCAGGTGGATCTCTGTGAGTTCAAGGCCAGCCTGGTCTACAGAGCGAGATCCAGGACAGGCACCAAAACTACACAGAGAAACCCTGTCTTGAAAACAAACAAACAATAACAAAAAAAACAAAAAAACAAAAAACACTTGCCACAGAAGGCTTATGACCTGAGTTCAACTCCTGGAACCACATATGGAAAGGAAAGAACCAACTCCTATAAATTGTCCTTTGATAGATGCACACACACAGAGTAATAATTCTTTTAAAGAGTTAAAATGTTAAGAGTAACATTCTACTGCAGAGATAAATAAATTGTATATTCCCAGCCTCTTCTTTTTATCCTCTGATGAGCCATCTCCTTTACCTTCCCCTCAACTTACAATTTCATCTCAGGCTCTTTCTGTTTATTAAAAAAAAAATCTAGACTTCCCTGGGACATCTGTTTTCTGCTCTACTGGAATGACTCTCACTATGTTCCTAGGAGCAATTCTCAATCAATGATCCATGTGTAAAAAGACAAACAGAAGTAAAGAATGAAAAAAAAAAAATCAGGCTCACATCCTTATTTTCTAATTTGATTAGCAGTACCTCTTGTAAGAATATAAAGAACTATACTGTATAGATTCACCTGGTAATGCGAGAGTTATCTACTGGTTTAATTGACCATTGGCTTTATTTTCTTTTATATCTGCCACTGTGATTGATCAGGCCTTCCCTAAGCACTACTCTGGCTTAAAAGACATTCTATGAGCATTAGAGGCAGCCTAAATATCAAACAATAGTAAAATAGCCAAAAGAACTATAGTGTATCCACTATCTAAATATACTATCTATATAAAAGGACTATAAAATAGCAGACAGTAGAGGACACTGAGAAATCATTTATAAAGTAATACACATAAAATTTAATTCTTGTTTAATATTTTTTTCCTTATTGTTTTTCAAGACAGGGTTTCTCTATATACCTCTGGCTGTCCTGGAATTCACTTCCTAGACCAGGGTGGCCTTGAACTCACAGGGATCCGCCTGCCTCTGCCTCCCAAATGCTTGGATTAAAGGTGTGTGCTACTACACCCAGCCTTAATAATTTTTCAAAAATGAGGTTTACTACAGGTACTGTTACATGGAATTAGAGAATAAGAAAACAAGTTATTTTGTTACTTCAAGCAATTTTAAGTACACACTGTGGTGTGTGTGTGTGTGTGTGTGTGTGTGTGTGTGTGTGTGTGTGTGTATGTGATATGCCATGATGTGCATATGAAAGTTAGAGTACAACCTGTGGGAGTCAGTTTCTGCTACCATGTGGGTTCTAGGGATTCAATTCATGTTGTCATGGTTAGCAGTCCTCTTCCCTAGCCCCATAAGTACATGTCTGTGTTTCCAAATTTTTAGGGTTTTTTTTTTTTTTTTTTTGTGTGTGTGTGTGTGTGTGTGTGTGTGTGTGTGTGTGTGTGTGTGTGTGTGTGTGTTGGTGCATATACTCATGTATAGAGGACAGAAGATACCCTTGGGTAACATTCTTCAGGTGATGTACACCTCTTTTTTTTTTTAAGATTGGATCTTCTAATTGGCCTTGAACACTACCAAGAAGGCTATAGATCTTTTATCTCTACCTCCATGAGATTAAAACTGCATGCCACCATGCCAGGCTTTTCAATGTGGATTCCAAAGACTGAAATCAGGACCTCACATTTTCCAAGAACTTTACTGACAGAGTTATCTCCCCAACCCCCAAAATTTCAGTTTTCATAATTAAACATTTAAACTAAACAAGAACAAGACCACACAACATTTCAGAAAAATACTGATGCTAAATTCAGTAACATGACATTGCTGCCTGTTTCTTAGGCATAATGTTCCCTTCCAAGGCACCTGAGAAATACTTACATGGGGCAGGGTACACAAACTTCTCTGGATTCTGCCTGAGCAGAGCATTCTTAATATGGCTGCGACCTACCCCACTGGCTCCTGTGTGAGGATAAAGAAAGGCTTCCATCACTTTCACCCAGAGACATTAGTGGGGACAAGACAGGGAATGGGAGATGGATTTCTATATCTCAGGGCTCAAAGTGGGTAGTAGATGAAAACAGTTTGGTGTATCTAGGCTGCAACTGAGTCCTTAGAACCGTCAAGAAGATTTGGGGCCACCAAATAGCTTCAATCCTTTGTATCCATTTGGGTGAGAAGTCTTTCTAAGGCCTAAAAGTTAAGATGTAGAACATAATTGCTATTTCTACAGAGGAACCAGCTACTGTGGAGTTTTCTGTTTATTTTGTAAGCCAGTCAAACAGGTGGACAAATAGCAAACCTAATCTAAAAGAATTAGATGCTAAGTAGTAGAAAAACTTGTAATGTGAATTGGATCCATATAGATTACTTATAAGATCCAGAAACTTTATAACTACACTATATGAGGTATGAAGTATCCAAGAGACCACACTTCATTTCTTCCTCACTACCTTTCCTGAAGAAGGGTGGACACATAACACAGGAATGGAAATAAGGACAGAATTGTGCTTTTGAATTAGCAAGCTGTGAAAAGATACCTATCAGCACCAGGGTCTTCCTTTTGAATGCTGGGAGCCGGACAACCTCCTCATAGGAAACAACATCCAACTGATCAAAAACTAGAGACAAAGAAAACCAAACCATATTAATTTCCAGAGGCAGGGTGGTAAAGCACTAGCTGGGGTTAAGGAGCTGACACCTGATCCAGCAAGGAGAGAAAGTTGGGCATGGTAGTGCAGGCCTGCAATCCTAGCACTAAGGCCTTTTCTCCAAAAAAGAAAACAAAATAGAGGGTGAGAGACGATGGGCATGAAATTGGGGGGGGGGGTGGTTTCCGGGAGGGATGTTGAATATTTCTATGTAATAAGGAAGTCTGATACATAATAAAGCAAAGCAGAAAGTATCTCCTATGAGAGTTCTGAGGAAAGGACTGACATGAGACCCCATTTAGATTCTCAATGAACTATCTAGAATGTTGGATAAGAAACAAACTGCAGGGGCTAGAATTTAAGCAGAGACTCTGGCACACCAAACTCCAGTTCAACTCCATGCCTCACTGTCTATGAAGTCTGATACATAATAAAGCAAAGCAGAAAGTATCTCCTATGAGAGTTCTGAGGAAAGGAGTGACATGAGACCCCATTTAGATTCTCAATGAACTATCTAGAATGTTGGATAAGAAACAAACTGCAGGGGCTAGAATTTAAGCAGAGACTCTGGCACACCAAACTCCAGTTCAACTCCATGCCTCACTGTCTATGTTATGAAAAAAAAAATCAAAGTCCAAACTTACCAAGGAATGCAGAATGCTTTGCTAATTGGATATGTTAGCACAATGGCTGCAGCAGCTAGAGGAGGTGCTAATAACAAATTGAAGAACAGGATGTGAGAGCAGACTCGTTCTGTATTACAGATGCACATGCTCCTTTTAGTCCTTGGTTTGATTTTCCCAGCATCCTCCATCTGAACTCTTTATAGGCTCTGTAGGCCAGTCTTTAGAATTCTGATTTTGTATATATATTTTTTATAACTCTATGCTCTCCGCTCTATCCTTCTGACCTGACCTTTTCAGTCTTTTGCAGTCTTAGTAATGTAATGGTTCTTTATTTCCAACACAGATTCCAGCTTTCTAGAACATGGAACTAGGCTGTCTCATAGGCACTTAGAATGCTATAATATCAGAACCATAACTGTAGTTCTTCAAACATCCCTTATTTTAGGGAACAGAACCAATAGTGACCCAACCACTTAAGATGGAAAAAGAGCTCTTAGGCAAACACTCTTCTGCACCTTCACAGATGCCTAGGCCATGGTGAGTACAGGTACTATGATTTGTTCATGCAACTGTCACTGTCTCAAATGCGCCCAACAAGATGGAAACATTGAATAAATGGTAGATTAGTATTCATTTGTTATCATTAACCCATTTGAACTCACTTATCATATTGGAAATATATATTCAGCCCTCCATATCCATGAGCCCTGCTTCCTCAGATTCAATCAACCACAAAATGAAATATTTAAAAAAATTTTGCATCTATATTGAACATGTGCAGACTTTTTCTTATCATCATTCCCTAAACAGTATAGCACGATTATTTATACAGAAATTGCACTGTATTAGAAAATCAAGATTTTCTTGAGTCAGGGTCTCACTATGTAGTTCTGCCTTGCCTAGAACTTGCTAAGTAGGTCAGGTTAGACTTGAACTCAGAGGTATGCCTGTCTCTGCCTCCTGAGTGCTGAGATTAAAGATGTATGCCTACCACACCCAGCCTACCTATCAAGATGGTTTAAAATTGCACAGGAGGATATACATAAGTACTATATAAATTCTACACCATTTTATTTGAGAATGTTAAGCAAAAGTGGATGTTGATAACCACGTGGTACTGGGACCAGTCCTCTGTAGATACTACAGTTGGTGATAAGCAGAATAAAGGTAACTATGGAAAAAAGTCTGGAAGACTTTTTCAGTTGGTTACCTGAGTGGTGAGGTGATGAGTAGGAGTGGACAGACCACTAGCCTTCCAGAATAGGCACTGGCATTGTCTCTCTTACTGCAGTGAGTTTATGAAGATGAAATGAGTAAGGGAAAACCAAAAGAAATGGAATACTTTCTATACACTATACATTCCACTGCATATTGCATCCTCACCTCTTTCCTTCTGGTTAAAGAGGTGGGGAAACACTAATGCTAATGGGACCTTGGAGGAAGGGGACACAGAAAACTTACTTGAACTATGCTTAGCCAGATACTTGTCTTTATACTTCTTCTTCTTCCCAAAGGGACTGCAGCTTGGAGCTTCACTTGGAGCAGACTGAGCCACACTTGCCACTCTCCTGTGAGGAACAGATGACCAAAGCTCAGTAGGTCCTTAGTGTAAAAGCCTGTGACAGACTAGGCTACCTCCTTTCTTTTCTATAGTAAATCTTGAGACTGACCTACTTCCTTGACTCTGTAAAATTCTTCAGGCAGAGATGCCCTTACCCACTTCCCTTTCTTCTCTGCAGTTTTATGTGGTCACCCAGGCACCTGGCAGTGAAAATGTTTCCAGAAGGAAAAAATAATTTCTTCACCTTAGTGCAGCCTATTCTTCCACCTTTGAGTTGAGACCTGGAAAATCGGGCTGACACTCACTTCACCATAAGAAATATATTATCCACAACAACTCTAATCTATAAATAAAGCACAGGTATGTACATATAACTACATACATGACTAAAACAATAACCTCAATAACAATACCACCTATTTCTGTGTAATCTATACTGATATTTCTATGCAATATCTTTTGTTTTGAGACAGAGTCTATGTAGCCCAGATGGCCTTGAATCTGTCTCAGCCTTCTGAGCACTCTGAATTACAGCCTTGATATATGATACCTGGCCCTCACTTAAAAAAATACTTGTTACAGTCTACTAAATTGACTCATGCCTCATTAATAAGTCATGAGCCACAGTTTCACCTTGTGCTCTCCTGAGCCTTTCTCAGCTATCTGCCTTTCCTGATCTTCCAATTCTCTTCACCAGGTGTTAGCTCTGAAAATGGCCTAGAAGATACAGCATGCTCATGGCTTCGACCAATATCTTCAAGGTCTGCACTGTATTTCCTCTGTTGCTCTAATGTTAAACATTTATTGGTGCTATTTATCATCATTGGAAATGGGATCAACCAGAACTCTGGCTTAAAACTAAAGGTCTGTATGTATGTTTGCAGGGCTGACCATTTGGTATTTGATAGAGAACTGAGCTGGATGCACTCATGTATTTAGGAATGTGTGTGTGTGTGTGCGTGTGTGCGCGCGTGCGTGCGTGCGTGCGTGTATGTGTATATCAACAGTTAGTGAAAAAAGAGGTCATGAATTTCAAAGAGTATAAAAAGGGATATATGAGAGGTTTGGAAGGAAGAAAGGGAAGGTAGAAATGATGTAATTATATTATAATCTCAAAAAAAAGAAATAATTAGTTCTGGTATAGGAACTAACACTCTTTGAGGCAGAAGGTCAACAGTGGATATGTATTTTTCTACCACTGTAAGGGTTATGTGGGGCAGCCTTGCACTAAGTGAGCAATCTGACTGGAGGACAAGAATCTGCATAAAGGACATATACTTAAAATGTAACTGTTTTCAGAAGTTTTCTTAAAAACAGTACTGAGTGGTTGAAGGGGTGCAGGAAGCAGGATGAGGGCTCTATAACTGGTGAGAGAGCATTTGAAGAAACAGGCCCATGCTATGGGATGGTCTGTATGTCAAATGTGTTGCTGATTGGTCAATGAATAAATCACTGATTGGTCAGTGGCCAGGCAGGAAGTATAGGCGGGACTAACAGAGAGGAGAATTGAGAGAACAGGAAGCTGGGTGAGAGAGACACTGCCAGCCGCCATGATGAGAAACAGCTTGTGAAGATGCCGGTAAGCCACGAGCCATGTGGCAAGGTATAGATTAATGGAAATGGATTAATTTACGCTGTAAGAACAGTTAGCAAGAAGCCTGCCACGGCCATACAGTTTGTAAGCAATATAAGTCAATGTGTTTACTTGGTTGGGTCTGAGAGGCTGCGGGACTGGCTGGTGAGAGAGATTTGTCCTGACTGTGGGCCAGGCAGGAAAACTCTAGCAGCAGGCCCATAAAAGGCTCCTTTCCCTGCAACCAATGGCCTTAAAATGAATAGCATCAGCTCCTGTGGACCCTTCCTCATCCATTAAAGGAAACTAGGACATATGTTTAGGAGATATGGAAAATATACACAAAACAGCAGATTTCTGAAGCTAAGCAATTAGCTACAGCAGGGGCTTTCTACCAGCACAAACGTGGCTCACCATTCCTGCAGCTCAGGAGAAGGGATCAATCCTGCAGACTCCTTGGAGGAGCCTTCCACTCGTCCCTGCCACCAATTGCTGTCATCTTTGTTGATGATCTGGATAATGTCTCCAGTAACAAACTTCAGTCCTGCCTCCTTGCAAGGGATAAGATTGTCCTTTTTGGGATCATAGTCAAACTGTGCTCTCATGAACATCTGTAAAAGAAGGCAAAGAGGACCTCAGGAAAAAACACTGGCACTAGAGCATGTACATAAGAAGTCCTGCTGTAAGGAAATGGGAAATGAGCAAGCGTGAGGCAAGAATGGTAGGGGAACACCCAAACGTATGCAGCTGGAATGTTCAAGTGTTCCTAACTACTTACTGTTGTGTTTGTAGAAGAATCAAAACTGATCCTTTTAATAAGAAGGCATTCCCATGAAATGCCTTTCTGGGTAAACATGTTTCCAGCTATTGAATCTGAGTTGTCCATCTCAGAGTACAGAGCTGCTACCATCCATCTGAAATGGATCTGTTTCCTTGACAAAATACTCTCATGAATATGGTAAAGTTGGGGGCTGGAGAGATGGCTCAGAGGTTAAGAGCACTGACTGCTCTTCCAGAGGTCCTGAGTTCAATTCCCAGCAACCACATGGTGGCTCACAACCATCTGTAATGAGATCTGGCGCCCTCTTCTGACCTGTGGTCATACATGCTGTATACATAATAAATAAATAAATCTTTAAAAAAAAAAAAAAAAAAAAAAAGAATATGGTAAAGTTGATAAACATTTCTCTAGAGGACAGTCTAGCAATATAAATGTGCCCATCATCTTCAAATGTTGACATTCTTTGCCTTGATTACTATGAATTTATCTTACATGAAACAGAGCTGCCAGTAATGATTATGTGGATAAGCATGTGTATCACAGCATTATTTATAAGAGTGAAGTATTGGAAACAATTTAATTTCCTAAGACATTCTTATTTGTCCATGTTAAATGGTTAAGTATCTGCTGAGTATATTACCAGTATATAATATATTTTGTAACACAAAAACCCAACTTGTAGAAGAATATCTAATGTCCTTTGCTGTGGGATGTTCTGTATGGCAAATGTGTTGCTAATTAGTCAATAAATAAAACACTGATTGGCCATTGGCTAGGCAGGAAGTGTAGGCGGGACAAGGAGGAGAATAAAGCTGGGAAGTGGAAGGCTGAGTCAGAGAGACACTGCCAGCCACCACCATGACAAGCCGCATGTGAAGATGCCGGTAAGCCACGAGCCATGTGGCAAGGTATAGATTAATGGAAATGGATTAATTTAAGCTGTAAGAACAGTTAGCAAGAAGCCTGCCACGGCCATACAGTTTGTAAGCAATATAAGTCTCTGTGTTTACTTGGTTGGGTCTGAGTGGCTGTGGGACTGGCAGGTGAGAGAGATTTGTCCTGACTGTGGGCCAGGCAGGAAAACTCCAGCAACAGTCCTTGGCAATCCTGTTGACATTATATGAAATAAGAACATTATTAAACAAAATAATCCTAGAATGGTCAAAATTTTAAAAAGAAATGTTTATTCTAGAAAAAAATGACTAGTAGAAATTATTCTAGAATTTAATACTGATTTTCTTGGTTAGTTTTTATCATCAACTTGACACAACCTAGAGTCATCTGGGAAAGGGAACCTCAAGTGAAGAATAGCTTCAGAGTGACCTGTGGCCATGTCTGTTATAAATTGTCTTGACTGATGACGATATGGGAGGACCCAGCCTACTATGGACAGCATCATCCTTAGGCAAGAAAGCTTGGGTTGTGTAAGAAAGCTAGCAGAGAGCAAACAAGAGAGCAAGGCAGTAAATGGCATTCCTCCATGTTCCAGCCTCAGATTTCTGCTTTGAGTATTTACCCTAGCTTCCCTCAATGATACATTGTGATCTGGAAGTGTAAGCTGAAATAAACCCTTTCCTCCCAAGTTGCTTTAAGTCAGAATGTTCTATTACAGCAACAGAAAGCAAACTTGGACACTGGTTATCTGTGGTAATAACATTACGAAGCATAAATATAGCTCAAACAAATAAGGAAAGAAATAATAAGGAGCAGCAAGAATTAAAATAGAAAACACCATTTAGAAAACCAAAAAGGGCCAACTGGTTCTTTGAAAAGATTAATGAAATTAAGAAAACAAAGGTTACAAATTACTAGTAAAAAAGCCAGGTGTAGTGGCCCACTCCTTTAATTCCAGCAGGTGGTCTCTGTGAGGTCAAGGCCAGCTTGGTCTACATAGTGAGTTCCAGAACAGCCAGAACTACATAGTAAGACCCTGTTTCCAAAAACAAAATAAAAAAACAATTTACTAGTAAAGATCCTAAAGATATTCAAAAGGTTTTAATAGGATATTGTGATAATTAGGCATGACTGCTCACATCTGTAACCTCAACAGACAGGGCACATAGGTGAATCTCAGAAACTTGCTGGTCATTTAGCCTAACTGAAATGGTGAGCTTCAGGTTTAGTAAGAGACCCTGTCTAAAGGGAATATGACATCGAGTGGCAATGCAAGATACCCAGTGTCCTTCTCTGTCTTTGAGAGTACACACAACTTTACACACATGTGCATATGTATACACACACTCAAAAAGTCATCTTATGAACAATTTCACACCAATACATTTGACAAGACCTGATGGTTTTTCTCTGGTCAAATTTTGAAACAGTTGAAGAAATAGGTTATTCTCACCCAAATACAAATAGCAGAGAATTCTAGAGCCTCCCAACTCATAACCATAATACCCAAATCTAACAAGCGCCTTCCATTCTCTCTGAGGATCAGGGATATAAAAATCCAAAATGAAATAATAAATCAAACACATCAATTTATCATAAGGATATGAAGTCACAATCAAACAGGATCTAGTTCAGCAACACAAAGTTTGGGACATTAACATAAAAGAATGGAGAACAATCACATGATCTTGTCACTAGGTACACAGATAAAATTCAACACTCAACCAATATTAAAATTTTAACAAATGTGGAACAGAAGGGAGCTCCTTGAATCTAATGAATACCTTCAAAAACCTTACAGCTTGGGACTGGAGGGATGGTTCAGATGGCAAGTACTGCTCTTCCAGTGGACCTGAGTGTGACTTTCAGCACCCATATTAGGTGGCTCACAACCAGCTCCAGGGAAATCTTGATATCTCTGGCCTCTATGAGCACTTGCACTCATGTGCACATACATACAGACACATAATTAAAATAATAAAAATAAACTAAGAAAACCTACAGCCAACTGTAGGTGGAAGTTTCTCTCCCGCCTGCCTGTTTCCAAATACCCAGAAACCACTTCCCAAATAATTGACTTGGAGGCTTAATATTACTTATAAGTGCTTGGCCGATAGCTCAGGCTTATTACTAACTAGCTCTTACACTTAAATTAACCCATCATGAAGAGCAACAGGGCCGGCCCTGTATCTCTATTCTAACACCCTCAACTTCCAGCATTGCTTGTCTACATGTCTCAGCCACATCTATCCTGTGAACGAACCCTGGCTTAGCCAGTCTACTCTGCAATGTCTTCTCTGGAGTTACCTCACAGTGACTTGAATGGCTTCTCATTTTCAACTCTCCATGACCTTCCACATAAAGCTACTGTGATCATGAAGGAATACCTCAGCACAAGAACCTGCTGTGCAAGAGCCAAGGAAGCTTGAGGCCTGCCGTGATAGAGCATCCCTGACCTCCTCTTACCATGCTGCCATTGTACTGTTTGCAGTGGTCCTACCTTGGCCTGTGGTCATGTGGCACAGTTGTCTCCTAGAAATGCCAAACAGAAAGCAGGGACAACTCTTGAAGCTTCCAGTTTGCAGATTTTGCCTTTATTTATCTGGGTTTCCATCAATAAGAGTGTAGTTGGCACCATCAAGTTAGACCTCATTCTCCCTTTCTCTTCCAGTGCAAGTTGTCTGTTTACTCTTGATTTCTCTGGAACTCCCTGTGTCCTGTCCTCTGCCTTTAAGGGGTATTTTCCCCCTTTCCCAGTGGGAGAATGTGATAAAGAAGAGCTCTACTATACCACACAAGCAGGTGTATGGATTTTAAGAAAAGAACAAGCAGTAATTAAATTGGACAGTCATCTGCTTGCTCGCATCAGTTGCTTTCTGTCTCTGTGTTTGCTTTCTTTTGTAATGATGTCACTTGCCAGTCTTGAGGTTGGAGAGTGCACATGCAGTGCTACGGCATTTACTAGCATGTATCCTGTGGGTAACCCTGTGAGGTGGGCGTTATTAATTATCTCTGTTTTACAGATAGATAAACAGAAGCAGTGCAGTAAATAGCTGTTTGGGACTTCAGCCCAACCTGGTTCCTGTTGCTCTGTTCAGATTCTGCATTTATGTGCAAAACAATGTTAAAATGTCACAGAAAGGAGACTGCTGTTTAAAATTGTTCAGTGTTGTTGACTTAATATGTGACAACCACATGTCAATTGTAAATATTTATCTAACCTTCAGTTGTAGTCCCTGTTTAGTGACTTAGGAAATATAAGTGAAGGCAAAGGGCTTTGACGCTGCAGAAGTCACAGGTAGATCAATTTAGAACTGAGTAATGTTTTCATGTTCTCTGAATGTTAATTACCAAAATATCCGTTTATGTTTAGATTTTTATGAAACTGGAGTATGTGGATTTACATCTAAGCCCTGACATTAATCAGCTGATGGCAAGAGATAAGTCTGTTCTCTGTAATCCATATCAGCCCTGATAAGTACTTCTTACAGATCTACCTCAGTGTGTGGAGGATGCCGGTCTAAGGGCGAAGGGTTGCCTGAGGCAGAGCTCGAATTCCATTTTGTGTGTCCACATGGTCCTCTCTGTCTTTCCATTTTCCTTTTTAATTTTCTCCCTTACCTCTTTCCCCTCAAGCATGTGATTATCTCTTTATTTTTAAATATTACCGCTTCCTAACATTTGTCTCTAGGGCAGCATAATCTTACTGATGAAACATTCCATGTCTTCCTT